TTTTGATCACACAATTGTTTTGTACTCAGAAAAATAAAAGTGATATTTATATCTCTCTACCATAAATCTTTTGGGTGGGTAGAATCATGGCCTTTTTTTCAGTTGAGCATTGAGTATGAGACATTATGATGATACGTTAAAGAAGTCCTTCATTATGTATGGTAATCTTGAAGTTATCTGTACTCTTAGAAGGCAGAAGGGAGTCTGGATATTTTATGTCTATGTTCATTGTAATACAGGCCATATTCACATACCTAGGAAATTACCTGCTTGCCAGCTTATAGTCAGTGTCAGGATTGACTAAGTGTGGAGAAGGATTTGAGGTCTGGACATTTTAGAGACAGTACATTTATTTTGTTTTCTGAAGGTAGTTCACAGTGTAATGATGGTAGTGGTTTGGGACACAGAATCTAACCAGACTGCTTGGAATCAATCTCCATTTCACCGCTGATTGCCGTGTAGCTTTGGGCACCATTCCCTCAGCTGTAAGATGGAGACAATAATAAGAATATCTACCTACTTCATGGACTAATTGAGAAGTTTCAATGAATTGATATGTGTAAAGCACTTAGTGCAGCGGTTCTCAACCTGTGGGCCGCGACCCCTTTGGGGGTCGAACAACCCTTTCACAGGGGTCTCCTAAGACCATCGGAAAACACATATATAATTACATATTGTTTTTGTGATTAATCACTATGCTTTAATTATGTTCAATTTGTAACAATGAAAATATGTCCTGCATATCAGATATTTACATTACGATTCATAAAAGTAGCAAAATTATAGTTTTGAAGTAGCAACGAAAATAATTTTATGGTTGGGGGTCACCACAACATGAGGAACTGTATTAAAGGGTCGTGGCATTAGGAAGGTTGAGAACCACTGACTTAGTGCCTGGCACATAGTAAAACTCGATGGAGATATTGTTGTCAAGTCAATAAGCGTGACTCAAGGTGGGCCGATATACACTGAGTGGCCAGATTATTATGATCGGCCAGATTATTATGACCACCCCATCAGTACTTCGTTGGGCCACCTTTTGCCTTCAATACTGTGGCGATTCTTCTTGGCATTGACTCCACGAGATGTTGAAAGGTGATGCGAGGAATCTGACACCATGCCTGATGAGTAGCACTGTCCAGTTCTGTGAGATTTGATGGTTGTGGAACCAGCTGCCTGATGGCTCTTTTAACTTCGTCCCACAAATGCTCCATTGGATTGAGATCTGGTGATTGTGGGGGCCACCTAAGCAAGGTAAAGTCTCCCTCATGTTCTTGAAACCACTCCTGCACAATATGAGCACCATGGCATGGCGCATTGTCTTGTTGGAAGAAGCCATCTCCATTGGGATACGCCATCAACATGATAGAATGAACTTGATCAGCAATGATACTTAGGTATGTTGTGCTATTCAGACGTTTATAATGGTCTGGCCCTCTAGCAACTTCAGCGCAAAATTATAGCTAATTTGCCTACAAATGTCAGGTGGTCATAATAATCTGGCCACTCGGTGTATGTTTCTCTGAAGGCGTTTTGAAAGAATAAAACGTCTGTGCTTGTGTCATCATTACTGTATACTGTCTGTCTTCCTTGGGAAACATGTCTTCTGTCTTAGCTGCTTCACGGCCCAGCTAAGCTGGGCTTCCTGCTGGAGTGACCACAGCAGGGAAGCTTGTCCTAGGAGACCACATGAGTGCCTCACTTGACTGGGTACAGGAGTTCTGCTGTAAAAGAAGAGTTTTGCGCCCTAGCTGGTTTTGCTCAGTGGATAGAGTGTTGGCCTGCGGACTAAAGGGTCCCGGGTTCAACTCCGGTCAAGGGCACATGTCCTGGTTGCGGGCTCAACCATTAGTAGGGGGCGTGCAGGAGGCAGCCGATCAATGATTCTCTCATCGCTGATGTTTCTATCTCTCCCTTCCTTTCTGAAATCAATAAAAATATATTTGAAAAAGAGAAGGGTTTTGCTTTTCTTATAAGGGCACCTACCCGAACAGGTGCCACCTCATCCTTGGGTACTCTAATGTTAAAAGAAGTGAATGTCCAAATAAAATTTATTGGGGTAGTGATTCATTTGTTCAACAAATCATTCTCTAAGTTTTATGTGTGTGGCCTTAAGTTTGTAAAGACAAGGCTTTCCTGTGCTTAAAGTAGAGCTTTCATACTAACCGAAGGGAAAAACATGAAAACGATTGCTTTGTTCTTTCTGCTATCTCTGAAAATGACATAAATGTCGTTTATTTTATGATTGTCCCGTTTGTACACTTAAAAGTTTTGCTGTGATTTGTTTTTTAGAGAAAGATCAAGAGGAAAAACTGATAAGTCCTCTCATCTTCTAAGTTTCTTGTTGATTAAAAGCTACATTTCTTAGAAGTAAAGAAATTACCTATTAATTTTGTTTCTCAAAGGAGTTAGTGAAATGTCACTATGAATTTATGTTGGCGTAAAATTTTTTTTTGTTTATTTTTTTATTATGTAAGGTCTGTCTTACATTTTGTAAATAAATTTGTTCCTGGCAAGATATGTAAATTTCGAATTCTATTTCCTATTGACGTAAAGGATTAAGAACCTGTGGAATTGCTTAGCCCTCTTACCCCCTTAAATACCTACTGAGAGAGCAAAGTCAAACAGTAGAACCGTCACATCTGTGCTCCCATAGTCCCTTATGCTAAACCTACTCTAGTACTTAACCACTTGGAAACTATAGTATCTTACCTATTCTAAGACACCTTGAAAACTTTTCTTATTTTAATCTTTGTAATTAGAATCATCTTCCAATTGATGGCATCCTAGAGTCAACAGAAGATAGTATTCCTTTTTTTCTCTGGCCTCCTACATGACAGTGAGTAGACTTCTTGAGAGCAAGAACTGATATTCATTTATTTTTGTTATCTCCAGGGTCTGGTTTGCATTTAGAGCCCTGCTTTTGCTGAATTACAGTGTAACAGTTTTTAGGATCATCTCATTAAGTATAAGTTGAAATGAGAGTTTCATTAAGACACTTTTGCAGGGTGAGGCATAGAAAAACAGGGCCTGCAATGCTGATAGGTAGTTAAAAGCTACTTCTACTTCCCCTTCTTTGTACCCCTTCTCTCTTTCTCTTTTGATTGATTCTCTTAATCTTTTGATTGATACATCCCTCACAGACAAAGCATTACTTTACCTGAATTTGTTGCTTTTAGCAGATGCCAGAGAAGTGAAAGAGTAAGAATGCTGTATTCTCATTTATGGTATGCTCTTATGTTTTGAGCATCCTTTGGATATTGCACTGTGCCATAGTCACTTATATTAGGTAAATGAGGAACAGGTGTAAGTGTGTTTAGGGACATAATGTTTAGTATGTAGCAATGGAAGAAAGGCCAGACTTCCTGCTCAAGGCTTCTGCTTTATAAGAATTTTCTTCTGAGTTACTATTTGTTGTTATTTTTATTAGTTTACAATTATCAATTTTATTTATAAACTAGTGGCCCGGTGCATGAATTCATGCACATTGAAAGGAAATTAGGAGAAATATTTTAATATCACTATTCACCCTTTCTCTGTAATAGAAGTGTCAACCAAATTCATGATCGACAGTAACAGATCGAAACACATGCATGCAATTGGCGCCAGCTTTATATGTGTTGTGCATGTGTGAGTCAACTTAGCCTTTTATATATGTAGAATAAACTTGCTTAATTAGACCTGCTTTCTGATTTAGCTAAACTTTTTCCAGCCCAGTGAAGCACCTCAACTTCTCTTTCAGGTTATTGTCAGCAACACAGCAGTAAATATCAACACGAAGCAGATTATTATTGTAGATCACGAAGGGAGAACAAAGGGTAAAATATTTAACTGCAGCAGTGTTTGACTATACTCTGCGCAGTCAGAAAACCTGAAGTCATTTTCAAGGTCCATCATTTCTTCTTTTCAGTTGGGTCAAGTTTCTAAATTTCTGAATCTCTGCTGGCTAATGAAAAGCAAATAGAATTCTACCGAGTCTCCTATCTACCTATTCCAGGACTTCTGTGAGGATCAAATGAGATGAGGCATGGGAAAACGCTTCATAGACATTTGGTTAAAGTGTAAAATGTTTCCACCTGGCTATAAAGCAAATCATGTTCCTGGGCAGAAGAAACTGCAAGGAGGCTAGTCGCTAGGGAGAGGAAGCCAGGTGTTGCTATGTGATGTCATTACCTGGACAGACACTTAGCATATTAGCCTTTTATATATACTCAGACTAGAGGCCTGATGCACGAAATTCGTGCAAGGGTAGGCCTTCGCAGCCCCAGCTGCCTCGCGGTCCCGCCCCCTGCCTGCACCCATCTTGGCCTGGCGCTGCCCTTGTCTATCGCCACACACCCTCAGTTCCCTGGTTCCGCGGAGCCCCCTGTTCATTCGCCCCACAGAGGGTGGCCTGGGCCTCCCTCTGTGGGGCGATCGCAGAGCTTCCCCCCATGGATCACCCCTCAGGTCGGTGACCTGGGCCTCCCTCTGTGGGGTGATTATGGGGCGATGGCCCTCCACCAATCGCATTGCACCCGCCTTGGCTGGCCTGGCGCCAGTGTGTGTCATAGTGTGGCCGTCCGGACGGTCGTTCTGCTGTTTGGCCGTTTGGTCAATTTGCATATTACACTTTTATTATTATAGATAGTTCTGTGATTATGAGACTTTGGGTTTGCATAACCTTATCACAATAAATCAAATGTTTGCTTGGAAAGGTGGAGTAGATCTAGTCTCCCTTTATCTTGCTCCTGAGTACCATAATTATCATTCTTGTGAATCTAGATGTAATCTTAGTGCTAGAAGAAACTGCTTAGTGGCTTTAGTTGTTTTCCTTAAGTTACAGGTGGGTGGTTAGAAAAGTCTTATCTAGGATCCATTAATTAGAAATGACTGCCATATAAGTTGCTTTTGTTTGTTTCTTTAATCCTCACCTGGTGCTATGTTTTTATTGATTTTTTTTTTTTTTAAAGAGAGGAAGTGGGGGAGAGAGAGAGAGAAAGAAAGAAACGTTGATGTGAGAGGGAAACATCAATCAGGAGTACATGCTGTGACCAGGGATTGAACCTGCAACCTGCGTATGTGTCCTGACCGGGAATCAAATCCATAATCTTCTTGATGTACAAGACGATGCTCCAACCATCTGAGTCACCCTGCCGGGTCATGTAAATTCTTTTAATACACTTTATGTTGTGAGTTTTAGATATATAGATAAAGCAGTTTCCATATACTTGGTACCCAGTTTCCTTATTAACATCTGACATTGTATGGTACATTTGTTCTAATTAATGAACCACTAACTATAATATTTGTGCATTATTATTCACTAAACTCCCTACTTATTCAGGTTTCCATAATTTTTACCTAATATTTTTTTGTTCTGGGATCTCATCATGATACCACATTATATTTAGTTGTCATGTCTCCTTAGGCTCCTCTTGGCTCACTTTCTTGTTTTTGGTGGCCCTGACCATTTTGAGGAATACTTGTCAGATATTCGTAGAATGCCCGTCTATTGGACTTTGCCTGTTTTACTCATGACTGGACTGGGATTATGGATTTTAGAAGGAAGACCACAGAGGTCAAGTGCCATTTTCATCACATCACATCTAGGGCACAAAACTATCTTGATTTATGACTGTGGATGTTGACCTTGATCAACTGAGTGAGGTAGTGTTTGGTTTCTCCACTGTAAAGTTACTACTTTCCTTGCCACCTCCTCCCCATATGGTATTCTTTGGAAGGAAGTCATTATGTGCAGTAGAGTTGCTTTGTAATTTTGTATAAATATTTAAATGGCAGAACAATTTAAATATGTACCCAGAGTTTAGTGAAATATTTGCTTTTAATAAACTATCACTGTTTAGAACGTTAAGAAATGTGCCTACATTTAGAGATTTGTTTTGGCAAAATTTTTCAAGTTTTTAAAATTTCTTAGTGCTTCAACCTTTTTTATTATGTGGCAGCTGTTAGATGTTCCTCTTTACCTAATTCTTGTTCTATCTATTTGATACTTATTTTTGAGAACATAAAATGAAAGGGACATGTAGGAGATCATTAGTCAAAAACTTGAATAATTAAAAAAAATATTTTGATCATCGTCTGTTGCTTTTCTGCACTTAAAAATGTTTCTAAAATTGAGGGCTTAGTTGATATGTAAATTATGATTAGAGACCAGAACAGTTTAGGACCCCAAAATGATCAAGGGAAAGCACCTTGTCGGAAACCCCCATGACAATAAACCCTCTCCTTGTAGTTCCCATTTTGTGTGTTCAATTTATAAGGCTTATGTTAAAATTAGATCATAATTTCCATGGTAGACTCTCAATTTCATGGTTGTGTAACTGCCATATAAACTTGATTGTAAACAGAGGCCTTTAATGATGGGCTTTATTCGAGCAATTTAAGAAAGGGGTATTCAGCTCCAAGGGTAGAAAATGTATGCCTAATTTTACATTTTAAGTTAAATTGTGAAGAGAGGCTTTGATTTTAAGGTGAGTTTGAGCCTGGTTGATGTGGCTTAATGGTTGAGTGGAGACCTATGAACCAGGAGGTCACAGTTCGATTCTCTGTCAGGGCACATGCCTGGGTTGTGGGCTCAAGCCCCTGTAGGGGGCGTGCAGGAGTCAGCCAATCAACAATTCTCTCTCATCATTGATGTTTCTAACTTTCTCCCTCTCCCTTCCTCTCTGAAATCAATAAAAAAAATATTTTTAAAGGTGGGCTTGAAAATATTTTTCTTACAATTTTCTATTTTCTGCGATGAGATGTATTATTTCATGATAAGAAAAAAAACTAAAAAATAAAATTAACTTGTTAAAGCCTTGAGACTTATTATCTTTTAAAACAAATAATTATTTTGACTTCTTTCCAAAAACTACTAGAATCTTAGAACCAATTTAAATCCATTTACCCTTTTTTATTTTTTGTTTTGTTGACTAACTGAATCTCTCTAGTTCAAAGAATGAAATTCACTTCATGTATCTATGAATTACCTTTGCGGTAAATTGTAGTGCTGGTATTGTGAAGACTGTTCAGTATTTGAGTTCCAATAGTTAGTGAGAAGAACAAAAATTCTTTTTTGTCATACACTCTTTTTGAGCTTATAAACTGCAGAAAATAAATAGAAGAATGAGGAGTTCAAATTTTATAGGTGAGTGTATTCATTTCCTAGGTCTGCTGTAACAAATTACCACAAACTTCAGAGCTTTAAACAACAGCATTTTTTTTCTCCCACAATTCTGGAGGCCAGAACCCTGGAATCGAGTTGTTGAGAGGGTTGGTTCTCTCTGGAAGCTTTGAGGGAGAATGGGTTCCACGTGTCTTTCAGTTTTTAGTGATTGTTGGCAGCCTATGCATTCGTTGGCTTTCACTCCCATCTCTGCCTCCGGCTTCATATGGCCTACCACCCCCCCCCCCCCTCCCCGGGTCTTCTCTCAAATCTCCCACTCTTTTCTCTTATAACACAGTCATTGGATTTAAGTCCAGGATGATCTCATCTGGAGATCCTTAACTTAATTGCATTTACAAGGATCCTCTTTTTAAATAAGGTCACATTCGTGGGTAGCAGGGGTTAAGAGTTAGACATACCTTTTTGGGTGCCACAGTTCAACCCACTAAAGTTAGTAAACTGCTTTCTGAATTTGCTAATAAGCACTGTAAAAGTATTTTTACTAAATGTAATAATAGTTATAGACTCTGACAATATGCATGTAAATGTGATTCAGAATTTAGTTGCATGTTTACTTTCTCTTCATGTGGTTTGCAATTGATGTGGCATTCTTTTACTGTGAAATTAGTCTGTACTCATATAGACAAGCTATAATTTGTGACTTTAAATGGTGTGAGCAAAGTCTTAAACTCTATGAACATATGCCACTTAGTTCTCGAATTTTTAAACCTACATACATGGGTATTTTTCTAAGATGAATGTTTATATGGTTCCCTTTGATATGAATCATGTTTGTCTCTACTTGAAAGAGTTTAAATTTATCCAGTGATCTGGTGTCTGATTTTCATTTATATGCCACCAGGAGGGATTTTATGGAAACCACTGAGAATTGCTGGGTGGATAAATGAGGTTAAATAATTAGAAGAAAGAAGGTTGGTCCTTGGTGTGAATAGACAGAGCCACTTTCTGAGAAGTACCGGCCTGGCCTTCTGGGATGTGGTTGGGAAAAGCTCTGGTGAGGAGAGCATTCTCTCCTTTTCTCCAATTTTGAGATGAAGGTCAGGAGGAATTTAGTTCTTATTGTTACTAGGATAAAATAACAGTGATATAGGCTAAGTAAAGTTGGATTGTTTTTTAAAATTTAGTTGAGCTTTAGACCCATAACTATAATATTGAATAATACAATTTTCTAAAACAAGAAGCCCCTTACCTCCACTCATTCTCCATCCACACTAGTCTGTTTTGGGTTTTTGGTAGTGCTTATTTCAAACATTATCATCTTTATTCTGCTTGTGTAGGTATTGTCTCCTCTGCTAAAATATAAGTTCCAGAAGTGCTAGAACCATGTCAGTTTTATGCTCATTCAGGACTATAGTTCCTAAGTAGTAAGCACTTAAAATATATTTGTTGAATGAACGAATTTAATATAGGGTGAGGCAAAAGTAGGTTTATAGTTGTATGTGAAACAGTTTATTCTTATATTATTTAGTAATTATTATATTTTCCATATGAACAACTGTAAACCTACTTTTGCCCTATCCTGTATGTTATGGATACTTTTGAAATCCATACATAGAGACTTATTTCATCCCTTTAATGGTTGTTTACTAATCTTTTATGCATATAGCATATTCATTTAATCATTATCTGTTACAGACATTTAGGTTATTAATAATTTTTCACAGTAACAAACAAAGCTGCCTGAACAGCTTGTATATATGTGTGCATATGTAACTTTTGTAGATAGCAATGTTAATTTCCTTAATTTATAGTTACATTCTTACAAAATAAGCACATTTCAAAATGTATTATTGAAATAATTTTAAGTATAATTGACCTACATTTTCCTAAGTACAGTTTAAAATGTTTTAATTTTTTTCCTCCTTGAATCAATGGAAATCTCCTGCCACAATATCTTAAGGGGGATTGTAAGCAGTGGTGAGCAGTGTGTGTGAGCAGTGTGTACACACACACACACACACACACACACACACACACACACACATATTGCTTTGATTGCCTCTGTGGGAAGGATCTTGGCTAATCTCTGTGAAAGGAAGTGTCAGAACCCTTCTGTCCATCACATGGCAAGACTGGGAAAGGAAAGCAACAGCCAATGTAGAAGATTAGAATATTAAATTCTAGTGGTTTTCATTTCATATTATCCAAAGTCCTCCCATGGCCTATAAGGCACTCTGCTTGCCTCTCTCATAACATTTTACTGCTTGTTCTGTTGTGGCCGTACTGGCCTCCTTGCTGTTCCTCAGATGTGTTACCCACACTCTCACCTTGCTGTCTTTAACTTCATGTTCACTTTGCCCAGAATGATCTTCCTTTACATAACAACATGGCTCACTCCCTCAATTGACCTTGGATTCTTTCCTCAAATGCCACATTGTCCGTGAAGCCTTCTGTGGCCATTGTTTGTCATATCTTCCCCTCTAGCTCCTGCGCTGACAACCCCCTTTATTTTTCTTCAGAGTTCGCATTACCTCTGATATATTATGTTTATTTGCTGATGGTCAATCTTCCAAAAAACCGCAAGCCCAGTGAGAGGTGGGATTCCATCCTCAGCTCCTGACTCAGCATAGGTGCTCAGTTAGCATTTAGAGGTTGAGTGGGTTAGTGAGTGAACCTAAGGAAGAATTCATGTGGAAGAATGTGGGCTATTTCCTTTATTTCCAGTTTTGCTTCTACGGACCATCTCTGCTCTAGAAGAGGTGAGAAGTGAAAATGGGGTCTAGGATATTCATAGGTAGCAGTGTATAGAGGGAAAGAAAACGAAAAAGGAAGTATCCAGGCTCTGGGGAGCAAAAGTTACAGCTAGAAGTGAGTTGGTCAGCAACTTGCTTATGGGACAGCCTTTGTTTCTAAGTTTGGAAAGGAAGAGAACCAATTTGCAAAGGCCCATTTTGAGCTTAACAGTGTACTGGTACTTTACAATGTCACTTAATCTTCACAATAGTCTTTAAATAAGAATCATTATGGCCATCT